CCCCGTGGCGAGCCAATAGAATATTTTAGGTCGCATTTCGATTATGCGTCGTTACGCTCCCTAGCGTTGCTCGCGGACGCTATGACAGAAAACAGAAGCTGAGAAGAATGCATTCTTGGTGTTTTGATGAACGCAGGTGTTACGAGCTGCATATTTTCGCTTGTTGGTTTTTGCTTTTCATATGCCGCATTTACATGAATGCGACTTTAGCGCATCGACTCCACTTATCATGTAAGTGGCTTAATGTGTTAACGAAGTGCATCGCTCTCAAGCCGCTAGACAGAGGTGGATTGAGACGGCAAGTGCGCATTCATTTCTGAGCGGGGAGTATTATGGGAAGGCGCTCGCTGCAGGAGTGATTGAACAGCTGAGAACATGGCGTCGGCCAACCTCTTTGGTGGCGGTGGGAAGTGGTACTGAACACAATCCCGGGTGTTCGCCCGCAATTTCCTCCCGCGAATCAATGCGAGCTTTTATTGCCATCGTTAGCGAGCTTAATATAGCTGAGCTGCTCAGTGAGGGTGGCCTCCGTCCAGGCCTTGGGAATCGCGGCTTGCACATGAGAAAGAGTCCGTACAGGCTCCGGCGCTAGTAGGAACGGCGAGCTCCGAGCACTGGTATTGTGGAATAAGCAACCACTATCTCTGTGTCGTTTCTCCTTGCGCCGGAGACTCTCTGAAACAGGGTCCGGCCATGGTTGGTGCGCTCTGGTGAGGCAAGGCACAACGGTGTCCTGTGATTGGCTGGAAACTGTCTCGCTCGCCAGGAAGTGCATTCCAACGTCGCCTCTTTTCCAGAGGGACTCGGATGCGAGCCCAAACCGCTTGGGACTCTATGTTTGTTGCGTCTCGTAACTCCTTGCAGAGCATTGAAGGCAGGTTCGTCGATTTCTACGCTCGTTGAAAGGGCCTCCGTGCTCAAAACACCGGCCGGAAAACGTGGTCACACGGTGCGACTGGTGCCGGAAACACACCTTTGACTTTGAGATGCGACATGGCGTGGCACCACCTTTGCATAGGACAAGATGTGCACCCATGTAAACATTGGCATGGCGGCATTATTCCAAGGACAATTAGATTCCATTATTGGACGGCACTGCCTTTATGGTCACATCTTGCGGACGCTATGATTGGCATTAAATGTTTGCATCTTGTGGGAACGCTCGTGCCGCCGAGAGAAACAGGCCTATACATTTTGACATTTCTTCTATGAAGGCATAAATCACTTATTGGGCTGAGACAATCCTTGTCTCCTCATTTTGCTCTTGGTCGTAGCAGTATGAGCCCACCTTGTTTCTCTGTAATTAAATGCAAAGGGGCAAGCGAGCTGGACAAGAATGACGAAAATAATCCCTGGAGAAGGGGAATAAAGGGACAAAGGACAAACACAGCAGAAGTCTGTTCGTCCTCTTCTGGCATTTTATTCTCACGGCAAACATGTTGAGCCTCGGTAAACTGCCACTTCTGTTAAGTGATGTCCTTTCCAGTCCACTCCTTTCTTTTGCGAGGCATTCTGAAGATGACCGAAGCACTTCTGGCTAGCATGTGACTTCTGTCGTGGACCCCTTTCGAAACTGTGTCCTCTGTTGGAGCTGTAAAATTCCTGCGCAATGGCAGACACAAGCACGAGCTCCTTGCGTGCTTGACTGAACGACCCCTTGGGCAGCAAAAGCAAAAGTCGCAGCTACCCGCTCTCGCTTCTTGCATGTTTTTGCAGTGTCGGTTGATGAAAGAAATGTTTCCACGTTATATAAACACTGCGTCACAAGCGTCTTTTTTGGTGCGGTGATTGATCGTCAAGCTCGCAATTTTGGGTTGTAGGTACAATTCGCCTTGGAGAACGTTAGGAATTTTGTTCTTTCTTTTCAATTTATTCACTCGCCACTCTCGAGCATGTGCTTTCCTTTCGTATTACAGACTGATTTTCCCAGGGGGGCCATTGAAAGAAATGCTATCAGATTTAAAAAAGAGAACTGAGTTGAGCGGTTCGAACCTTCTTCCACCGCATGGCAACTGCGTTCATTTCCAAATATGCCACGCCCGTTGCAATATAACTAAATTGCGTTTCTTTCTGTTTATTTTTCAGCAGGGGCAGTCTGCTGCCCTCTTGCATTCTTGCTTTAATATGGTGATTATACTTCTGCATGCCGGTACAATGCTTCTTCATGTCGAGTTGGGTAGTGGCAGGGGTGGAGCTGAGGATAGGATGCTAGGGTTCTGCAGTGCGAGATTTTGTCCACATGCACACAGAGCTGCTGTGTGTTAACCCTCTTGGTCACCGATTTGACTGAATGGCCTTCTATGAAACGCCAGTTCCCGTACTGTTGGGACACTGACAGGGTGTTTATGATTGCTGAGGTTTTTATTTGTACTTGACATATGAGAGCCCAACTACCCAGAACAGAATTCGCGGCTCAAAATTCGGTTTCTTTACGCCCAAAAACCGCCGATTGAGAACTGGCCGGTTTGAGTCGCACTCACTCTCTTTTCCGTTGTCATGGGCCGTTCTAGGTTTCGACGCGACCACCAAATTTAATCAAAGTCGTGGGTCATTGAAGGCACACAGTCAATGCTAAAAATAGAAAAAATATGAAACCTATTTTTCGTGGCTTCCAGAAAGCTGCAAATACGTTGATTGAAAAAAAAACGTTGCACAGACAACCGGAAGCATTCTGTGCATTCACTACATAATTCTCAACATGGCGTCGTTTCGCGTTTCGTGGGACTCGCGGGTGGCAGTGGGCGACGGGTGTGGGACCTCTACTTCAGAACTGTTGTTCACGGTACCGGCGAATTCTGTCTTCCTTCGAAAGAGAAATTTTGGACCGATCAAAAGAATTGATATTCATCCCGTACGACACGCCCGACCTGCAAACCGATTGTACGAAGACGTCGCTGAGCCGTTGTCCCTTCTCGTGACTAAAGACATTGCTCGCTTAAATGTCGAGCACAAAGTGCGTACATCGAGTTGAATATGCACGCGTACGGTTTCTTTACTTGGTGCGAATTATGCCAATGCGTGGTGCTGCCCGACTTCAAGCCGGGAGTGCATGTTCTGGAGGGTAGTCGGCAGCAAACTTTCCGACATACAGTTGACAAGATGCATTACTACGAACAAAAGAGTTCCTTCAGTAGCTCAGTGGAAAGACGTCCGCTTCACAAGCAGCGGGCATGGGTTCGATCCCTAGTGTGGTTGTACCATTTTTTTTTTCAAACATTTTGCGATGTTTACATTTAATTTTTGTACAATTATCACTGAAAAAAAAAAACAATTGTTGTGGACGATGTGTCGCTGAACTAAATGGTATGGGATTCCATTTTTGACATCTCTGCCGCACAGTGCCACTTTCAGATGTGAGGCAGCTCTTCACGCAACTTGGGAGTATTCTTTTCGGAGCTGATCATGGGAATTCCCCATGGGCACTCACTACTAATTGACACCACCTGAAAGGTACAAAACAACTCTTCTTGAAGTACAGAACAGCAAGTAGAACAAATATAACGTCAAAGGAACCGCACGACGAACGGATCTCGAACGCATTTCGTCTGCTGCACCCGAAAGAAAAAAAAAATCGCACGGTCGGGTGTAGCTACGTGACTTCCGCCACGCGCTCTCTCCTCTCCGCATCTCCGTGCGGTGCGTGAGTTTCGGTTTCAGTTTCGAGCAGTTGCGTTTTTTGGCTTTATTGAAAAAAATATGTCACTCTGCAGCGAAATATTAATGGGGTAGTATTCCGACACCGTAATGAATCGCCTGGCAAAAAAATGAAAAAACAATTTTGGGGGGTGTCAGTGTCCCTTTAAAGAGGCACTAAAATGGTTTCTGAGATTGTCTGTTTCTAGTGATATCTCAACCTATGGGCTACAGGCACTCGAAAAAGCCCAAGATTAGATTGATATTCGTCCCATTTACTCACTAAAGACTGCATCAAAGATTGTGACAGGCCCATCTTTCTGCGGTTCCACGCAGAAGCCAGAGGGCGTCGTCGGATGTTCGAAGGCCAATCGCAAGCGATTGCTTCCCACAAGGCAAAAGGGTCAACCAATGGCAGACTGATACTCACATCTGTGCAGTTCGCACACGGGAAGCAGTTACTCACTATTGGCCATCGCACTTTCAATATGCCCTCTGATTTCTGCACTGCTCCACGGAAAAACGGGCATGGTGCAATCTCTGGTTTTGTTTTAATAAGAAACACGTTGCACCTATCTAATCTAATCTTGGTTTTCTTTAGAATGCGTAGACCCCATAGCAACAGACAAGTGAAAGAGACCAACACCACAGAGCGCAAATCAGCGCTCTGTTGTGTTCGTCTCTTTCCCTTGTCCATGGTTTTTAGCGCTTTAACCCTCTGAGCTATAAAGCCAATAGGTTGAGTTATGCTATATATAGGTGATCTCAGAATTATCACTTCTTTGGAATGCATAATAAAGGGCCCTGTTTAGCAGTTGTGTTGCTCTTGCTGCAGCACCCCCTGCAATGTTGAAGCGGTATTGCTTGTGACCTCTCAAAGGCAGATGGATTAGATTCTACTGGCTCATCTTGAATGAAGAGAAGCATTTCAGTCAAGTTTTTTTCATGTCGATTTGATGAGTGTCAACACATTTAGCACCTTGAGAGAAGGTTGTTTTGTATGTGTAAACACTGTCTCAGAATTTTGTTTTGGTGCAATGACTTGTTTCCTGCGATGATCTGAAACCACCAAGTGCCGCTTCGCTTAGCTGATTAAATGTTTATCATACTAGCAGCCCAACGGAGAAAACAGACAGCTGGTTTTTAACATATACTTTCAAACACACAAACAGCCACCCATAACTAAGCAAGCAGGCATTGCATTTCCTCATACATTTGTCATAATAATCTCAAAATTTCAGAATTCCAGGTGTGTTTTGCATTTGTTATTTTCATAGCTGTTTGGTTAGCTTGATGCACTTGGAAGCAGTGCTCATGCAGTTTGTGTTTAGTTACTGTCATTGCTCTTTCCGTTTAATCGTAGGCACCACAAGTGGTCCCAAGCCTTCTTCACGATCTTCCAAACCTCCTTACGAACCTGACGGGAGACAACAATTGGAGTGGAAGTGATGCAGTCCTCAAGTCTTGGTAAGTTCTTTGTTTAAAACTGTTTCATAAATATAGAATGGTGACGGTGTTCAGACTAGAGATGGTTATAGTCCAGAGCAGCGCCTCTTGTATAGCTGGTGACAGAATCCTAGGGTTTTGTGCTGATTTCAAGATGCTCCACTAATGACGTATCCTCAGTGGAGCCCAGAGCCCAGTTGAAGGTGTGCAGGGAGGGATGGGTTGGGCTTCAGGAAGAGGGAGGCAAGCAGCAAAGAAGGAATTTCAGGAAAGGTTCGTAGCAGTTGAGAATGAAGGTTAGGCAAGTTAAATGTTGGGTTCCTAGGCACATTTGTGAGTATAGCCTCCGGGTCCTGCCGTCTTTCCACTGGTGTGTAGGTCGTCTGCTGGTCAAGTTTTGCCACGGCAAACCCACAGTTGCCAGGCTGATGTCCTAATAAAGCGTTTTCCAGCTACTGTGGCCAGATGAGCTTTTGATGCTTAGCTGCTTGTAAACATGTGTAGACGAAGGGGGTGGGGACAAGATAGAGAAAGTTGCATAATTGCTGTCTGCCAGGTTCTGGACTTGCACTGGGAAAGAATGGGCGGGATAGAAAGATAGTAGAAGTTGGAAAAGAATAGTGGAATGAAAGAATGTTAAAGAAACCTGTACAGAACAAGGAAAAATAAGGATAAAATAGAGAACATCTTAGACAATTAGATGGGGAGTTTATTGCTTTTAGGACATAGGTACTGAGAACTAGGACTTGTAGTTGGAGGTATGAGCAGGCGGAAACAAAATTTAAAATATTGGGACGGACGAATGAAGCTATGCAACATGTGAAGTTTAGTCAATTCGGTAAATACATGGACCGTTGGAGGTGCAGCACCAGAGATACTATTTCAGGGGGAGGGAGTACTGTGGAGTAAAATAAAAACACTTAATGTTCTGTGTATGTAGGTATGTATGCTAATTAAATAACATCATTGTTAAATTCCATTGAAAAGCGCGGAGCCCATTGTTTTTATGAGTTAAACATGGTGAAATGGTTACGAGTTCATTGATGTTCAAAGTGCTAAAAGTGAGGCTATCGTTGCTTGCTTCCAATGAGTGGGACTCCAGTGCACTTTGTGTGGAGCCAGCAATGAGGTTCAGAACACAATGAAGTTTATTTTTGCTTACCAACTCGGGTGGAACTTGGGATTGTGCCTATTAGGATGCATGTGTGTTGCTCCGGGGGTTTGTGGTCGGTTGGGAGCTTTGGGTGTGCTCTACATTAAAAGTGGAGCGCAAGATGCCAGACGGAGATCGGTTTTGGAATGCCAAGGTACAAAGTTTGCATTCTGGAATGTTATTGGTAAACTCTGCTGCGGTGCAAACATGCAGTACATTTGGGCTCGCTTACAACCAACCCCTTCCTGATTTGAATTCCCTGTTTTCGAAGTTTATTTCTTTTGAAATTCGGACCGTGTTTTTGGGAGTTTATTTTTTTCCCAATGTTTGGAGTTTATTTCTGATAGGTTCCCGATTCTCAAAAATTCTGATTGTAATTTTTCGGTGTGCCCAATTTATTTTTTTTTTAAATTAAGTATAAAATCATAATATTATCCATAGGTAAGCGCCGCTTGACCGGTAGTTCCTTTTTCTTGGGCGAGCTCTTCGGCAGTCCACAATGAAAGCAAGGCACGAAGCAGAAGCACCAACACATAAACACCAGATCACTCTGGAGCAGAAACTAAAAAAATGCGCAGGCAGAAAAAAGACTGCCAAACCGAACCAGATACACGATCACACTTATCCTTGTTCTGGTCCCTCTGCATAAACAAACACCTCGCAGTCACACGATGGCGTAAGCCACTGATCTCTATGACAATTGCTGGATCGCGCTTCCACGCTTGTTCGCTGCAGCGCAAGTGAAGCCACCGGACTTCACTCGCTTGGGATACGATTTGCCGTTTTTGCTAGCCTTTGCTGCGGTTTTCCAGCGTGCTGTAGACACGTTTTCTACTCGTTCGTCGTCATTCGCCGAAGAAGTTTTTTGAAGACTCTGTGTATTGTTGAGACTTGTCGTTGTGAACATGTGGCAAATTTTACGAAAGTGCAGTGTCGCAGGAAAAAGGCACAACGCGTCGAAAGGAAGGGCTGGCGGCGTGTTCAAAGCTTCCTTGGCACGCCGAAGTGCCGTGTCTCTGTGCCTTCGCACGCTTGGATACCGACCAAGAACCGACGCCGTGTGTATGTGTTTAGCGAGTGCAATGTGCGTGAAGCTGTTCGTGCCTCTGGATCAGCGTCTTTTCCCCTCGCGGTTTAGGAACGAGCTTAATCCAGCGTCCACTAGCGACGGAAGATGGGGGGAAGGTACGTCTTTTTTTCGTCCTTAGACGATTTACACAATACCGTGCACAACAGCTCCTCATCACTGATCAGTGCTGGCTTATTATCAACCTACTTAATTGCACTTGACGTTTGAGCGCGGCTCGCCTAATTGTAATTGGTCAACAGATTGCACACGACCATATCGGCCGCGCTTCAAAGATTTTCATTCCCGCCGTCTTGTACTTTTGCTTTCGAAAACCCCCTGGCTCCACAACGTTGCCCTATTCGTGCTCCCACGGAATCTATTAGAGTAGATTTGGGACATAGCCATGGTTAATATAGTACATAAGAACACGTACAGATCTCCCCCTTTTATTGATAGCAACTCACCGGAACAGCTGGACGATCCGGAACTCCGTGGCCGATATATATAAATGATCTAAAGGCATCTACGCGCGACACACGTTCAGAACTTTGGCGCGGCGTCAATTCTTGACCGGTATCCAAGCGTGCGAAGGCACAAAGATGCATCACTCGGCGTGCCAAGGAAGCTTTGATCACGCCGCGACACCGGCGACACGTTTTCGACGAGTTGTACCTTTTGATACGGCTTCACGCACATTGCACTCGCTAAACACATTCACACGGCGTCGGTTCTTGGTCGGTATCCAAGCGCGCGAAGGCACAGAGACACGGCACTTCGGCGTGCCAAGGACGCTTTGAACACGCCGCCAGCCCTTCCTTTCGACGCGTTGTGCCTTTTTCCTGCGACACTGCACTTTCGTAAAATTTTCCACGTGTTCACAACGGCAAGTCTCAACAATACACAGAGTCTCAAAAAACTTCTTCGGCGAATGACGACGAACGAGTAGAAAACGTGTCTACAGCACGCTGGAAAACCGCAACAAAGGCTAGCAAAAACGGCAAATCGTATCCCAAGCGAGTGAAGTCCGGTGGCTTCACTTGCGGGAGCGGCAAGCGCGATCCAGCAATTGTCATTGAGATCAGTGGCGTAAGCACAGTCGGTGGTCTTGGCTTAGCTTGTGTTGACTTGACTTGGCCTGGCTTGGCTTGGCTCAAATTGACCAGAGCCCGCATTTCCGCATGGCGCGCTGCGCTTTTGCGGCGTGCGTGCGTTGTACAAACACAAAAGTGATAAAAATGCTTTTTATGTTTTCTGTTTGCTCCTTCACGTGGCCCAATAGCTAATAAATTCCCTCCCAAACTCCCGCATCTTTTCCCACCCAGTCTCCTGCATTGTGCCGGAGGGATTGCTTTCTCCAGACTCTCGCGCCTTGTGGCTGAACTCTATTCCGAATATAACGCAAGGTGCATTTTGGAGCACGTTAGGAAAAAACTCGTTATATTCCTGCAAATACAGGATTAAATTTAGCATTTAGCACAAATAATGTTGGCATCCATTCATAATACAAATATTGGATTATAATTCACAGTTATTGATTGTATTCAGCTTATTTATTAGTGTTTTGCACCTATTTTAGGTTTCATTTGGTATCTCTAGAAGCTTCCTGAAGTTTCAACGTTACGCCTGAAAGCTCTTCAGTGTTGCTTCTTCCAGATAACAGACTTGTTTGACTTTGTAATCGACTGAAGTTTAATGAAATGAGCTTCAGCCATGCACACCACTTCTAGTAATCTTCGACGAACATGCAAGATTTAAATGCAGCTGCTAATTTTTTAGTGTTGGGAGTCAAATCATAGCAGTCATTACACCTACAAGGGCAGGTGCAGGGAATTTAAAAACAAAGTTTCCAACAGTGTTTACGTTCATAATCTTGGCATTAAGTGTGATAGTAAGCTAAGGTTTCAGTCATATGACAGTTTCCTATCAACACAAGAAATCCAGTTTCCATAATGTCCCGAGACGGCCCACTTCAAATTGAAAGCGGCACAACCATGTGGTTGGGCTAACTTTTTGAGTGAGCAAACACTTTTAAAAATGTTATAAGCAGACAGGAATGCTTGTAGGGAATATAAACGATAGTTTCTTCACAGTTTATTGACACACATTATCGGAATTTAAAAGGTGGTCTGCAGTTTATGATAAATTTTTTTTACTTTTGTGACACTGTCACTAACCCCATAAAACAGTGGCTGAAATTGCAATTGATGATTTGGTCTATCAGCCGAATGCACTCAAGGAGACTGCACCACCCACAAAGAAAGCAAACATCTAACATATGTAGGGGAACAATATGTGCTTGAACAGTCTCAATGCTGTTCATGCTAATAAAATAATTAATGGAAAATGAGTGAGAGGAGTGTCGAAAAGAAAGGAAGCCTGGAACTTAATAATTAATGGAAAATTTTTATTTGAGTGCTTTCATGAATTTATTTAAGAAGCAGCAAGATATTAAACCACATAACTAAATCTTAACTACAATAATAGGTACTTCTAAATTAGTACCTATCTTGGTTGCTTTCCTTGAATTTTAATACACAGTATTTTCTTTTAGGTGATGCATCAGCACAGTTGTGGGAGATCAGCTGCCGTCTCAAAGCTACTGAGGACATCTGGTTTAGATGCTGTTCCTGCACTTACTTCACCAAAGATCAGCATGGAATTGTGAGCCACCTGGTTGCCCATAGTGGTGAACAAGTCAAGTGCCATCATCTCCCCATGTCTCCTAACTCTAGGTCCAAAGTGAACTGCAACACTCGATTGCTCAGGGGTGATAGGTTCTTTAAATGTAAGCTGTGCCTCCACACCTTTGTTGACAAAGGCGGTCGAATCCAAGACAATCGAACACACACAGGTGAAAAGCCATTCAAGTGCAAGCTTTGCCCTAAGGCCTTTGCTCGGAGTTCCCATCTGAAAGACCACAATCGAACACACAATGGTGAAAAACCTTATAAATGCAGGTTGTGCACCCAAACCTTTGCTCAGAATTCCCATCTGATAATTCATAATCGAACACACAGTGGTGAAAAACCTTATAAGTGCAACCTGTGTTCCCAAGCTTTTGCTCGCAGCGGAAGTTTGACCTATCACAACCAAATACACACTGGTGAGAGGCCATTTAAGTGTAAGCTATGCCCCCAAACCTTTGCACGAAAGTCCTGGCTGACGCACCATAATCGAACACACACAGGTGAGAAGCCTTATATGTGCAAGCTGTGCCCACAAGCCTTTTCTAGCAGTTCTAGTCTTAGTCGACATAATAGAATACACAGTGGTGAGAAACCTTATAAGTGCAAACTGTGCCCCCAAGTCTTTTCTCAGAATTCTCATCTGATGACCCATAATCAAATACACAATGATGAAAAACCTTGTAAATATAAGCTGTGCTTCTAAGCTCTTTTCAGAATTTCCAGCTGAAAAGGTATACGGAATGCACACAGGCAGAAAGAAGTGCGAGCGGTGTCCAGAAGCCTTCGTTAGAAGTCCAGCCTGACCTCCATAATCTAATGCACATGGGTGAAAAGCCCTTCAAGTGCAAGATCTTCCCCAAAACCTTCTCAGAATTTGTTATATAATCTAATATGCACATAAAAGCCCTTAAGTGCAAGCTGCATTCCCAAGCTTTTACTTGGAAGTCCAGTCTGACTTGCCATAATTCGATGTGGGTGAAAAGCTATTCACATGCAAGCTGTGCCCACCATGTCTTTGCGAAGAATTTCTATCTGAGAAACCATAATTGAACATACAATGATGAAAGACCTTATAAGTGCAAGCTGTGTTCCCAAGCCTTGGCTCACAGTGGCAGCCTAATATACCACAACCAGACATACACTGGTGAAAACCATTCAAGATCAAGCAGTACCCACTGTACCAGTATTCAGAAAAGACGAGACGAGGCCATGACTGCTGGGCTTAAGACATAAGCGTGTGTGTTCTTTTGCACTTTCTTCATTATTCAATGCATATTGCCACACCTTCCCTTCCCTGAGGGAGGTTCGAATGAACTTAGAATTCAGCAAGTTGCAATCACATCAGCATACAAATAAACGTTGAACACATGAGCATGCACACAAGCATACAGATATCCATATATATACTTATAGACACATATGTACTAAAGAGTCACTCTGTGAACCTCTTCGATTTCATGGTAATACGACCGGGCCATGTCTGTATTTTTGTGTCCTTGAAAGCTGACTCTGGCTGAGCTTGCGTTGGTCCTGGCTTCGAGACCATTGGGGGTGGCGACGTCTGCACATTTGCATCTGTTGGTAGTGGAGCAAGGTGGCATTTTCTTCTGACCAGAAATCCTTTTGAGGTCTCCATGATGTATGATCGTGGTACTGTCCTTTTTCCTGCAGCTTCTATGCAGAGCATGTAAACTTGCAGAAAGTAAATGTGTGACCAGAATTCAATTTTATTTTTCAAAGAAAAGGTTGGCAGTTTCAGCTTCCACACTGTTGTTTCTTTCAGTTATTGTAGTCCTTGGTACTAAAGTATGAATGCAATAATTTTGAAGGTTTCGATTTTGACCTTTCATACCACATGCTGTCTCATTTGACCAGTTATTACAGCAGGTGATTGATTGACGAGTGTGTGCATACACCACAGCACAAATGGGGCATCTCTAGTTGAATTCCCACACTGCCCAGCAGGTTTCTCAATAAATTGACACTGTACCAATGTGCACGTTTTTAATACCACATACTGTAAAATCTCATAAGGGTGCCCTCTCAAAAGTAAAAGATAAATGGCGAAAAACATCAATGGGCTATCTTTGGGAATGAGACAGCAAAACTTTAGAAAAAATTTAATGAAAAACATAAAGGGCAATTGCCACAAACAGTGTGGCTTGGGAACCGATACCGCATATCAAGGAAACAATAAATCTGCATTTCACAACGTGATAAACACATAATTCAGTACAAATGCCTGTGTCACAAGGAAGGATACCGCAGACTGTGGATGCAGCAGATTCGTGTTTCATAGTGTGATAAACATTTGGAAACCGGCTACACTTCTCTGCCACGGAACCGATATCGGGCGCACAGATTGTGAAGCGAAAAACATGGGAACTCGCATGTCATGGGAACCAATATTGCGTGCGCAGATCACGGACAAAAACACGGGAATGTATGACTCCCATAGAACATGGCACAATGTCTAACGAGAATCGGCAGTGGGCGATGTTTGAGAATTTTTATGTTACAGATATTTAGCCAGAAAAACAGGAAGGGCGATCTCTCAGGGGAGGGTGCCCTTGCAGGATTTTACGGTAATTAATGCCTTTTCAAGTCTACGTTGATGAAAGGAGGTGTTGAGATCTTGAAACTGACTTTAACACAGTCTCATTCCTAAAATGTTTTCACTATTTTTCTCTGCAGCGGCATTATTGTAACATATTTATACGACACCTATTTTGAGACATCACTCCCTAGTGTTTCGGTGGCTCCAAAAGTATGTTGCTCCATGTTTTTGTTCCTGAGAGTTGTTTGAGTGTTGCCTGTCCCTCTGTCGAAATTCTCACTCCATAGGCGTCAGTGTACATCAGGCTATGCGCTCGGCCCTTTTTGTATTACACAGGATAGTAGTTTGTTTCTATGCTTCTCTAATGGCAAACATTGTGATATTTTTTGTAACAGAATGAGATGGGTCAGAGCAGCTTAAGTCTCAAAGAATGCAAATTTAGCCATGATTATGTGTGGGTTACAGAGTCCAATGATCATGTGTGCTTATTTTTGCCTTCTCTAACAGATTTGTTAACAGAGCTCCAGTTTGGCTTGATTGTTTGTTTATTAGGCTGACCTCGTTTATCTCGAACAAAATCTGCAGACAATAAATGTGCAATAAGACTTCTTTTTCGCTGTTTCTCTGAAATAAAAGTGGCAGTTTTAGCTTCCGCAGTGTTAATATATGTATATACAGGGTGTTTCACAAAAGGTGGACAAATTCCATATTGCGAAAACTACTTATCGCAACAAAAAAAGGCTTGTGTTGTTTTGGTCCTTTGCCAAGGGCCTATTTAGGAAAAATATTAAAGTCCGGGATAATTAGGTTGTTAATTATTTTTTCATATTAACTTTTTTAATATTGTGTTACGACGCAGCCTCTGCTGCGTCGCGCAATGACAGCGCAGGAGAGATTGGTTGCACTATCTCTCCACAAGGCGCAGTGCCGCTGGGGTGGGGATGCACTCCGATAGGAAACCGAAACTTAAAAACCCGTCGAATTTGTGCGGTTTTTCAGAAAGCCACAAAATGCTTCGCGTGCCTACTATCATTCTGCAATTTGTTGATTTAGTGTTTTTTGATGGTGCTGAGCAATTTTCTTATTGAAACCATGCCCTTAAACCCAATATTAAAAAAGTTAATTACGCAAAAAATAATTAACTTAATTATCCCGGACTTCAATAATATTTTCAAATAGGCTCCTGGCCCAGGATTTAAATGACACAAGCCTTTTTTTTGTTGCGACACATAGTTTTTGCAATATCGAATTTTTCCAGCTTTCATGAAACACCCTGTATATATATATATATATATATATATATATATATATATATATATATATATATATATATATATATATATATATATATATATATATATATATATATTCTTTTCTTCTTTTTGCCGTTGCAGAGTTTAGTTGAAGTAAATTTGCCACTGGCAGAGTAGCTCTTTACAGAGATTGTAGTTTGCTGTATTGTGTCATGCTGGGATCCCACAATGGCAGTTTCGTCGCCGTCCAGTGGTCTATAAAGTGGATGTGCACACTGCCTCAGTGGGGGTTTTGCTGCTGGTTGTGACAATAGCCCAATTCCTGCCTTCCAGGAGGTTTGGGTATGAGGTGACATGCTTTTACTACTGCTGTGTAATGCATGTCAATGTATTGCTGCCTTCTGAAAAGGTATGGAAAGGAGACTTGAAAGTTGAGGAATTTTGAACCATATTTATTGCACTCTTACTCCTAAGCACTGGCTACTTTGTAATTAGACATTGTTAAATTACACTTTCTTTTCAACCTTCACTGATCTGACTTCCATATTTTGGTGCATAGTTCACTTGTTCCTGAGTGTTGGAATTCTGTTCCTTGGCTCTCTTCACTAGAAGCCATGAACTGTTGATGTCATTGTACAAAGTTTTTTTTACAAAGTGTTTCCTGTTAGTTTTGTTATTGTTTAGAAATATTGCAGCTTGTAGATGATTACAAATCTTGTTGGAAATGACAATGCATGTACAAAGGCTGACAGCAGAGCGTCCTAGTCGTTAGCAGTCCGTACAAGAAAAGAATCTAATAATGGCCTATTTACCCGAGATTATGTCAGTAGCTTGCTACAGCTGCATTCACATCCCGAAACAACTTTAAAATAAAAATAATAAAGCTTACATGGGAAGGATGTATTGGTGATTGTGTCTTTTTTTCCACACTGCAGTGTCTTTAACTAAAAAATGGAGTTGTTCTTTTATTTACGTGCTCGGAAATTGTCACACCTCTTAGATGAGCAGAGCTTCAGCACTGGTGAAGTAAGCGAATCTCCCGCCATGCGAGCCATGCATTGTGAAACTTATAGCCTGCCCTAAAGTTCTAGTAGTTATTTTGCCAACACATACCCTCATTTTGATAGTGCCAGATGCCTGCTCCAGGCATCTGGCATGTGGTTCCTTCTGTAAAAGAGAGACCAGAATGGGTAGCATTGCTTTTTATATTGATATGTAATTACTTTATAAAGCCTGTAACTCATTTTTTGCCCCATTGGAGCCAAAGCTGAGGATTGGAATGCAATGCCACATGAAACGCCTTTATAGTGTTTTCTATAGTTGGTGACAGGTTTAAAAAGCAGAAAAGCTCCTGCCACCAAGCTGTTCACTTTTTCTGCTTTAGTAGAGCAAATGCTAGAGAGGAATCGAGGAGGGACTCACCTCCTCTCCCTCACTTTTCTCCTATAGTGGAAAGAGTGGAGGGTTTTAAGGGAGGAGCTTTACCGCTTTCTTAACGTCTTGCAGACTACCGTAACATCCCGAGAGATGCACTACCTGCCTAAGATAACCCACCCCTATTTTTGGCGTGCTTCGTAATTTTTTTTTTTCAGAAACACCAAAAGATAGCTTATTGGTACTTGTAAATACAGTGCCCGGGCCAGTGGTAACGTTGTCCAAAATCGGGTTAGTTAGTAGCTACGGCGGGACATAGGCGAACATTTCTGACTGGGAAAGGCATGCAGTCTCCTTGCCCCTCGCTGAGATAAGTTTACCAGGTCACAAGATCTATCGGGTGTCTCAAATAGCGACCAGGCTCTTTAAATCGACCGCAAAATGCGGTTTCTCAACATATCGCGCTAAGATTTTCCACAGCGTTGCCCACAGGTGGTGCATTTTTTCTATAAAATTTGCAAAAAGTGAACTTGTCTGAGGAAGAAGTAAAGAAAGAAAAAGGCTTAACTCCTATGAAAACCCAGCGAAGCCACGTGGTCCTCCGCTATAAGCGAATAGTGGTGTTAGAAATATATGAAAGGTGGTTTATGTGAATTGAAAATAGTAAAGGGCCCAGCTCTGTTTTCTGCAGTGGCCAGTGTGTCTGGTATAGATAGCCTACAGACGGATGTATGTAAATTTTCATGTCGCAAGCTGCACATATACTTAGTTTTATGAGCAGCTCTTATACTAGAGATGAAACACCCTTTCTCAAAGCGAAATTTTATTTCTCAGTTTTTTTAAATGAAATACACCATGTTTCATGACCTGCTGTATCGAGGAATGGAATCAGTGGTCTCCCAGAGAAGCAGGTAAAAATTGAGTCTCCATTCTTGTGGAGTTTTATTTCAAGCGACCTTGAAGAAGTGCTCGGAAAGGAGCACAGTGTGAACCCTGTATTCCTGCTTGGCCCTGGACGAGTGCAGAGCCATGGCCAGTGGGCGACTGTACACTTATCTTTAATTCACATTAAAACCTGTCTCAGAACAAGAGGGACATACAGTGGGGTAAAGGGAAGCCTGGACTGGGTGATGGTAACACTTCCTGAGACAAGAGAAAATAGTTTCTCAAGGCTTTTCAGAAACATTTCGATTGATAAAGGGACATGTTGGCACTTTCTAATTACGTTTTCAGCATCCTTTTGTCAAAAACTCAAATCCTTGCCATCATGTATCATCGTGAAGCACTGATAAGCTTCAAATGTGTTGTTTATGAAGTACCAATAAATCTATGACACATTGATTGATTTGCACTTGAAGGTACTTTCAGTCATAACTACTGCAACATTTCAGTGTAATAAATATTGTGAATACATCAAAGATTGTGACCACCTATCTGTAAAAAAGGCGTTTCTTAAATTGAAATATCTAGTGGGCTACTTCATTGTTGGTAAGGACTAAGCTTTTAAAATAAGGGTGGAAAGACTTTGGCAGGCAAAATTATATTGGTAATAAAAAATGACTAGCATGGTGGATAAGTCTGCGCATAGCAAAAAACGCAGGCCGATTTATTTGCATGGCACCCCATTGAAGCAACTTGAGGCAGTGGATTAGTATACGCATCAGAATGTTCAGGTTTCACTCCCACCTCCCTTTCTTGATAAGGATGCGTTCAAACATAGAACATTGAAAGTTGACTGCTTATGACCCAACGTATATAACCTCACATTTTCATGACATTCTATGTTTGTCAGAGAGTGATTTGGAAAACATACATAAAAATATTTCTGTAGCGAAACTTTACGCAGAAAAAGTCATAGACAACAAATTAATCTGACGTGCATTCATTGATTTTGCAAGAGCATATTACTAGGTCATATCTGAGGTGTAATAATCAATATGGTCATAGTAACCAAAACTCGGGTCATTAAAGGGGCGAGCAACAATTTTCGCACTTTGTGCAAATACCGTTAAGAACGGATCTCTGACGTTAATGACCTATGAAACGCGTTCGTTTTTCACCCCACGCAATAGAAGTACCAGAAAAAAATTCAAGAAAAACAAGCAGCGTTCACCCCCTCAACTCGCAGCCAGAACAAGCGGCCGCGTCATCTGGAGCCGATTATATGCCGCCAATGTTGATCATAGCCACGTGCTGGGGTTGGCAAAGCACAGGACACGCGCCGAGTTCCAGACATTGTTATGGCTCGGCTATTGTCGTCGTTGCAGCAATTGGACACGGGCCACTACCCGAATGCTTCTTGAACTATAGTAATTATCACGAGCCCAAATCGAGTGTCCACGCAATGCTCGGGTCCAATCTATGGAACGCATTCAAATATTGTCATTGGGGTGTACTGCGATCCCCACGTTACGCCATCGAATTTTGCAAAAGAAGAGATTAAATGAAAACGCTCGCTTTTGTCCTTGAAATTACACTGCAACAAAGGAGTTTCTTGGCCAGTGGCGTTGTGTGCGAGTATCCTTGAGTCCCACTAGTGCCAGTAAGCTAGTGTAAAGTGAAAAACATTCCAACTGAATATCGTTGCACCGCCCCTTTAAGCAAGACTCGTCCAGTGTGGGTCTCATAGGAAAGTAAACTTTAGACGTTCTTCGTCCACATGAGTTTTCCAAACATAATTTGCTTAGTAAATTGTATGATGTGAAGATGCGAGCATATTCATCACAGCTGGTAGCCATAATGACGTCATTAATGCAGCTAACTTGACTTTGATAGTTCTGGGTACTAGGGACCATGCGTTCATGCAGGGACGGCGCCAGGCTTTTCATAGTGAGGGGGCAGTGGGGAGGCGCACGGCATTTTTGGGGAGGCATGGGCCTTCGATCCGACTAAAAGAACAAATATTCAGGGACGATGATTTGGCGCTTCGGGAGTTTTTAATAGAAATCAGCTCAGTTTATTTCATTGTTTTACAACCTATCT